ATTTTAATGATAAAAAAACTTTGTCGAAACGTTGTACATTTGCTGTTATATTCAACTTATATTAAAGTTTTTCTTCAAGAGTTGGCGGTGGATGATGATAAATAGCTGCCTTCCCTCTAGTCTTTCACTGTTAAATTAGGGACGGCTAGCGCAGATAGCCCTCTTGTAGCTTTGCGCAAAAGTTAAAACAAACCAACTTATTTTGTATAAGTTTAAACAATATTCACAATAATATGAACATACATCAAACTATAGAGACCTACAAATTTTATTTGGTTAATACTTAAGAAGTTTTACGAAATGTATGCACATGAAGATTTTAATTATGTTAATTGCATTTAGAAGTTGAAAAGCCATAAGCTACTATTTCAAAATAAAACCTTTATGCCAAAAAAAATCATAAGAATACTTTCTCGTCCTGCCGATTTTGCAAACAAATTCACGCCATAACTGCTCCTTTAAACTCTACACTTCGGATAATCAACAAATAATACCACAGTGTGATAAAGTCTGACAATACTCACAAATGGTTAAACTCGTTGTAAGGAAAAATATATTTAAGTGATCAACGTTTCGACAATACGACTCTCATTGTCGCAAACAAGTTCGTTTGTCCGAAACAATGACCTTAGTTCTTCTTCCCCTGCAGAGATTTTAACCATTTTGGAGCTGTTCATTGACCATTACATCAGTAGCGTATTCCTTCTCCAATTAAATCCATTTCCAGTCGTGCGTTTTCTTTTACATGGAATCACAATGTACCATGTTTACACATATGACAGACGGAATTGGATCTCAATTTATCAAAATTAGAAACAACAAAAAAAGAACTTCCCTGTTGAAATATTCTACAAATTCCTTAAATTACCCTAGTCATTAACAAATTTTCAGTCAAATGAAATAAATATTTTAGCCCAACCAAAATACAAATTCAATTTAACTCCAAAGGTAGAGGATGAGATTTAGCTAGATATCGTAAAATTTACTATTGTTTGTTTGTAATTAAGCACAAAGGTGCACAAGGGCTATCTGTGCTCTACCCACCACGGGTATCGAAACCCGGATTCTAGCTTTGTAAGTCCGCAGACATACCGCTGTGCCACTGGGGGGCCAAATTTACTAACCCTACTGTGATACGCTAAGTACCTTTTATTTTATGAAGATTCGACACCTGCAGCAAACCTTCCACTGTATATATGCTCTTCTGCATGCATTAAAGATTTAAAACATAAGTAAAGTAAAATACGAAACTATCAAATTGTCTAGTGTTCTGTTCCATGAAATTTCAGAATACGTGTGTGAATAATCTTGATTTACTTCCACGATCTTGTGTTGAGGCCTAGCTTCACTACGCTTGACTAAGAAACCAAATATAATTTCACCATTTTCATGCTCAATTTCTTGTGTTTCTAATTAAATTGTTCATTCAACTCAAATAGAAATATTCAAGGAACTCCCTGCCAAATCAGATTCTTCGGTTTGTTAGACATGACTGTTATCACAACTGTTAATCAATTAGTTAAGTAGTTTATATACTCTTTCTTGGAGTTTTTTAGATGTCATTAAAAACTACCCCCAAAAAAGTTAATTTAAAAAATTGCAGAATTACTAAAACTAGACAATCATTGTTACTACTTCTTTAACTAAATCTATGCAACACTTAGATTATAATGTACACAATAATCATAATATAGTCAGATTTAGACAAATATTGTTACTATTTCTCTAACTCAATCTACATATCATTTAGATTATATAGTCCACAATAACTATAATATAGTCAGATTTAGACAAATATAGTTACTACTTCTCTGAGTAAATCCACGCAACACTTAGAGTATAACGCCCACAGTAACTACTATAGTCGTGTTTAGAAAATCATTGTTACTACCTCGCCAACTAAATCTACACTATACTTAGATTATATAGTTCACAATAACTATAATATAGTCAGATTTAGACAAATATAGTTACTACTTCTCTAAGTAAATCCACGCAATACTTAGAGTATAACGCCCACAGTAACTACTATAGTCGTGTTTAGAAAATCATTGTTACTACCTCGCCAACTAAATCTACACTATACTTAGACTATAACCATAGTGTAGTGGGATTTAGACAAATATTGTTACTAAATCATCACAACATTTAGATTATACCAAACTTAAGAGAGCAATGGAGCAGTTAGTAGGAAAGAAAGACAAAAAAAGTTAGCTTTTATATAAACTTGTATGTCTTAGGTGACTATAAGTTTTTAATTTGTCAGTGTTGTGAATTAAATCAAGCGTATTGAGAATCTGAAAAGCAACATTTAAAAACAGGGCCTCCAAACGTGTGTGTTAGTTAAGTCATTGGGATAACAGTTTAAAGATATTATTGTGGTTGTAGTAGTATTTAGGTTTAATGGAATGTTAAAATTAACCACCATCTTTCACACATTAATTCACCTTTCCACTTTAATTTAAATCTTGAAGTATTGGATGTTATTATGACGAAATACACAAAGATATTACACTTTAAGAATGTTAAGTGATCCCATTGTCAATACTTGAATTCTACGAACTCGCAACATAAGCTATAATTAGGTAGTAATACCGCGAGCTACTTTATTCACGTATTAATAACTGATTGTTATAAGGACACACGTGGTTTATTTGAGTGAAATGTGCGTGAAAAAGGATTTGATGTCATTGCAACTATCAAATTTATATACATACATGCTGCCCAATAGAGTACCTGCATTGTGACCGCCATTGGGAATTTAGCCCCGAATTTAGGGTTATGAGCCCTAAAGCTTACGACTGAGCCACCAAGGAGTGGGAGTTTGTTTGGTTTTGAATTTTGCTTAAAACTACTCAAGGGATATCTGTGCTAGCCGTACCTAATTTAGCAGTGATAATGGGATTGACTGTCATATTATAACGCCCCCTTGGTTGAAAGGACGAGCATAGTCGGTGACGGGAATTGGAAGCCGAGCACCCTAACCACCAGGCCAGGAATGGGAGAGGCGAACTTACAGAAGGAAAGAGACTTCAATATAACTAACTGGTCAGCTATGTAATTGTTTCGACATTCACTTTCTGTGCCCCTACCCCCCAGTCTTTAGGCTTACAACGCTATCATCCGGGTTTCGATACCCGTGGTAGGCAGAGCACAGATAGCCCATTGTGTAGCTTTGTACTTAATTACAAACAAACAAACAAATAACTTTCTGTTGTATTGTATGAGCAAACTTTACAACGCTTCGTTTTCAATTCATGTTTGAATTTTATAAAGAATAAAATCTATTCCCTAATGAAATTGAATGGAAGGTCAAAACCTTACTTTATACAGTAAATAAATACGTAATATGTGACAGAATCTATTCCATATGTGATGTGGCAACAATGTAAAATAGAAGTCATGAGCAGGCTGAGATAATACGTCACAGCTGTTACGTGCAGTATTCTAGGTATAATT